AGGCCTTTGTTAAATCTATAAAACATAGATAGCTGCCAACAATGCCAGCATGTCAATAAAAAATTTGCTTTGTAAAAATTATAGTAGTATAGAATTTACTTAAATTAAATTAATTATTTTTTATATTATACACGGTTTCTAGTTTGAAGTTTTTAAACCAAGCGTTTTGGTAAAATATGCAGACAATAATAATAGGGCTCATATTCAAATAATTTTTGTAGATAAATGGGAGATTCAAATATACCGGGTGTGTCTCAAAAGTGGCTCACCCCCGATATTTTTTTTATTTTTTCAGATAAAAATCGAGATTTGGTATGTTAGTATATGACATAAATTAGGATTAATTGATGTATTCAATTGTTTTTGATCATGTCATGTTTCACCGGAAATGACTACAATTTTTAGTGTCTTGTCCTGGCCAGTTAGAAAATGCTCAAATCGTATTTTTAATCGTATCTCAATTTCTTCAAATCGAACGAGAGTGGCTCATTAGCATATTTGGGAAAAAGCATTTTTTTACGAATAATTTGATACCACACACTTGGTATTTCGAGTCAAATTTTCGTTACGAACCGCAAGTTATAATTTCATATAAACCAAATGCAAAAATGTCTAAAGTTGACATATAATATGTCATTCTATTCAGAGTGTTATTTTCTATCGAATAAAGTAAAAAAAACCGAGGGTGTCATTTAAAAATCAAAATTTGTAGTCATTTCCGGTGAAACAGGAAGCGACCGAAAACAATTGAATACATCAATCTAATTTATGTATACTAACCCTCTCGTTTTTAACTACAAAAGTAAAAAGTATTATAAGGGTGAGCCACTTTTGAGACTCACCCGGTATATTTACACTAAATCTGAAAATTTTCCTACCTCCAAAGTTTAGACAGGGTGTTTCAAAAACCTGTGTCTCTGAAGTGAGGTACTCCTAAAAACAAAATTTATTTTTATTTTTTTTTTTTTTTTAATTTTTGCTTTGTTTCGTAGCTACAGGGTGTTAAAATCTTTAAATTTTTTTCGATTTATTTTAATTTTCTTCAACAAGTGTTTTTAGCGATTCAAAGGAAATTAGAAATTTTGAGGGTAAAACTTACTGTAAGTGCAACATACCCAAGCAGCATTTGGACGTCGGGACAAGAAAAGTCCAACTGACAATAAATAGTCATTGTTGCAGGTGACAGACGTTACGATTACCTTAGAAACTTAACGGCCGCCGGCCGTTATGATAACGTCCGGCGGACGTTATATGCATCTTTTCCATTCTGATTTTGCTTATGTTATAATAATATAACAATATAGTATGACGAAAAAATAATTTATTAATACTTTTAATGACGTTATCTTGCCAGAATTGTCTAATATCAACACGTCAACATTTTATATCTTAATAAATCGGTAAATGATAATAGTATTTTTATTTTTACGATTTACGGCGTAAAATAACACTTGCGTTCGAGTTTTACCATATCTATTACTTCTTGGAAGTAACAGCTGATCGTAAGTTATTGTATAACGTTCATTTAATCTTATACAGGGTCCGGCAATAGTGCGTCGGGCATCTGTAGCTCCTAGAATAAAAGAACTTTGGAATTTTGTGTTGAAGTGCAAACTCAAATTATGTACTAAGATGTATTTTAGGAAAATATTTTAACTTCTATAGGGTGGCTCGAAAAAGTGTGAGTGAACCTGGATGTTTTTTTTTTAATGGAACACCCTCTATATTATTGCATTTTTGGATTTCTTTTAGATCACTTTACATAACCCTAAGATATGAATAAATATATTTCGATAGTTGCAGAGATATTAAAAAATATATCAAAAATATATATTTTTTAGCCCTTCTTAAAAAATATATTAAAAATACATGAACTGTTCTGAACTCAAAACTATATTAGGTTATTTACTTTAGATAGTCTGTTCTTACTTTGCTATAAATATGGTAATCGTAAATCATACAGGATGTTCAATATTCTACGGCAAACTTTCTAAAAATATATATAAAATATTTGTTCTTTGTTCTTTAAATGGAACACCCTGTATATTATTTTTTTATTAGATGGAGAGTTAAAAAATGAACATTTTTTGTATTTACAGTATTTCAAAATTTTTAACGGTTTCGCAGATATGGCGCTTTCAATGGTAAAATACGAGATTCATTGGGTGACTGATAAAAATTTACTTTGGAAAATGTCATAGGAAATATAAAACTGCAAATATCTGCGAAACCGTTAAAAATTTTGAAATACTGTAAATACAAAAAATGTTCATTTTTTAATTCTCCGTCTATTGAAAAAATAATAAATTCAATTTAAAAAAAGGAAGAAAAATTATTTTATAATTTAGAAAGTTTGGCGTAAAATTTTGAACATCCTGTACGATTTACGATGTTCATATTTATAGCAAAGTAAGTACAGACCATCTAAAGTAAATACCTAATATAGTTTTTATTTCAGAACAGTTTTTGTATTTTTAATATTTTTTTTAAGGGCTGAAAATTATATATTTTTGATTTATTTTTGATTATCTCTGAAACTATCCAAATATATTTATTCATATCTTAGGGTTATGTAAAGTGATCTGAAAGAAATCCAAAAATGCAATAATATACAGGGTGTTCCATTTAAAAAAAATCATCCAGGTCCACTCACACTTTTTGGAGCCACCCTGTAAAAAGTTAAAATATTTTCCTGAAATACATCCTGGTACATACTTTAGGTTTGCACTTAAACAAAATTCTCAAGTTTTTCTATCCTAGAAGCTACAGATGCCCGACGCACTATTGCCGGACCCTGTATAACGATATTGAATAATTTTATATTAATAAATAAAAATGTTTTAAAACCATTATAACGTCTTGAAATTATGTACGGCCCCCTTGGTGCTTCATTTCGGGGCCCAGAGGTAATTGTATCAGCGTTTGCAAACTTTTTCCAGAGTGCGTATAGGAATTCTGCTCAAGCAGACGATGTTTTTCCTTCGTTGTCCTCCTCTGATCTTGTTGATGTCTCCCCAACAATAACCGCCGACGAAGTTATCACAGCGAGTAGATCCCTTTAAGAACAAAATGACTGCGGGCGGATGGCCTTCCCCAGCTTCATTGTAAAAAAGATTGAGCGTTTGTTCTATGCCTTCCACTATGCCACATCTTTAATTTAATTCTGAAGAATGGCTGTTTTTCCGGTTGCCTGGAAATCAGCTAAAGTTCTACCGGTTCATAAAAAGGACGACCTCCAGAGAGTTGACAATTATCGGCCTATTTCCATACTCTGTAATTTTTCCAAGTTGTTTGAAATTATCGTTTATAAGTCCTTGTTCTCGCAGTGTAGATCCAGAATATCTAATGACCAACATGGTTTCTATTCTAAAAGATCATGTATTACTATTCTCTGTGCCTTGTCACACTTTGTTAGTTCAGTTTTTGATGAAAGGAGTCAGGTTGATGTGGTGTATACTGACTTCAGCAAAGCATTTGATCAAATCGATCATCAGATCTTGCTAGTGAAGTTAAGTAGTCAATTCAATTTTTCTGACAGACTGACAGCACTCATGTCCTCATATCTCATTGATCGTCTTCAGTTTGTTGAGGTCGAGGGGTTACAGCTCGGATACATTTTTACTCCAACTTCCGGAGTTCCCCAGGGGTCCAATCTCGGCCCACTACTATTCAATTTATTCATAAATGACCTCTTAACAAGCATTTCCAGCTTAAAACTGGCTTATGCCGATGATCTGAAGATCTACTGGCAGATTGACGGGCATGAGGACTGTCTTTTCTTGCAAAGCAATATTGATAGAATTAACCAGTGGTGTACTCAGAATCGATTGAACCTCAACGTCTCGAAATGCTGTGTCATGTCATATCCATAGAACCCAGGTTCCCGTGCAGTTTGATTACAGTATTGCCAACAATATACTGTCTAGAAGGACAACGTTTAGGGATCTGGGTGTCGTATTTGACGACCGACTAACCTTTATAACTCATATTGATCAAATTGTTGCGAGTTCGTCAAGACTTCTTGGCTTTATTATTCGTAACTGTAAACTCTTCGTAGGTTCTGAACCTCTCACGCTGCTCTATTTTTCGTTGGTCAGGTCAAGGCTGGAGTATGGATCTTTGGTATGGTGTCCAATCTATCAGTGTCATGTTGCATCCCTTGAATCAGTACAGAGGCGTTTCTTAAAGCAACTGGTGTTCAGGGAGGAGGGGGTTTACCCTGTTAGAGGTGTGGATCACATTGAGCTGTTGTCTCGGTTCGATGTGCCACCACTTTCCTTGAGAAGGATCATTCACTCAGTAACTTTCCTGTGGAAACTGCTGAATGGTCTTGCAGATTCCCCAACTCTTTTGGAAACGATACCATTCCGGGTGCCACGACCTACCTCCAGAGCGAATACCACTTTTGCGCTTCCTCGAGCTAGAACTAACGTTAGGTTTCAGGATCCGATTTTCACCATGTGTAGCAACCTTAACTCTGTCTCCGTTGACTGTGATGTGTTTGACTGCTCTGTGGGTCATTTGGTCTCACTGGTGGGTGGGGGATATTAATGGTTAACTATTGTTTATAATAGTAATTTATAATGACTAATTTGTTATTGTTGTTATTATTATGATTGATTAATTTAGGTTTAGATTTTGGTTTAGTTTTCTATTTTTGTAATTCTTTTTTCTTGGTTTTTGTAAATTTGATATTTAATGTTTAGTAACAACCTATTGTTAAGATTGTATTTTCTGTAAGTGGGCTCTAATTGCCTGTTGGAAATAAACGCTATTATTAAATGTCATTTTAACACTTTGCTGCAAATTTTCCATGCAACTTGCAAGGTTGAATTACAAAAATTGGCTTGGAAATGAATATCGATGACATTCCTCATATAATTTTACATATAAAATTACAGCGATCTTCATTTTATAGCCACCGCTGACGCTGCTTTTTTGAACGTATTATACATTGATTACCTCAACTCCATTATTGTTTATATAAATACTTTTGTTAGTGTCTTATAGAGACGACCAATCTGCTGACATGCGTAAACGAAATGATTTTGCTCAAACACAGTGATATCCGCATCATGGCACAACACGCAACCTGTCAAGCTCTTTATACAGCGTTGGACAAATGTAAGGACTTGGTTATTGTTACAGACGATACCTACAAATTTCAGGTAAGCTTCTAGTAATACAATTATACAATTTTGTTTATCTAAAAACCTAAAGTATGTACTAGGATGTATTTCAAGAAAATATTTTAACTTCTATAGGGTGGCTCAAAAAAATGTGAGTGGATCGGGATGATTATTTTTCAATGAAACTCTCTGTATATTATTGGATTTTTGTCTTCCTTTCAGATCACTTTACATAATCCTAAGATATGAGTAACTATATTTCGATAGTTACAGAGATATTCATTGCTCTAAGCTATTTGAAAACGGCTACCTTAAAGGATCGTTTTGCTTGTCGAACTCAAAACACTTTTACTTTTACACTGGACGCGCATTTCGCTAACCATGTTAGCATCATCATCAGATGATCAAGATTAATCTAAAATATACAATTTGAGTGTTTATATACTCGTTCAGTGGGTACCGAGTGGGCGTGGGAAGATCTAGCCAACCAGATCAGAGCCCACCGAGCGTAGCAATTAAATTTTCGCCACTAGAGTAGTAGGAACAAAGAACTTGAATGAATTGGACCGTTGTCTCTGTTCATACTATCTTTACATTTATTAATTCTGATGCTTTCATATGCGCCTAATTGTTTGTAATTTGAGACTTGTTTAATTAATTTTAAATTATTAAGATCTATATAATGTTCTTTATCAACAATATGTTCAGCAACGTAAGATGTATCCGGTCTACCATATCTTATCTGAGCTAAATGTTCTTTAAATCTAATTAATATTGATCTTCTAGTTTGCCCAACATATTTCTATTTACAATCTTTACAAGAATTTTCATAAATACCCGACCTTTCCAGTGGAGGTCTTTTATCCTTTTGGATTGCTCAAATTGTACATTGTAGATTAGTCTTCATCATCTACTGATAATGCTAACATGGTTAGCGAAACGTGCGTCCAGTGTAAAAGTAAAAGTGTTTTGGTGTATTGTGGTGATTTAGTGTTTTATTTTGCTGTGTAACACCAAAGTTTCCAACTCCCAACTGTAACTGTGAATTTGTGCGTTCTCTTGCTCTTTACTGAAAACTATTTCTTCTTAGCGCTTTAAGTCGCATGACTGTCTGAGCCATAGACTTAAAATAAAATATAGACTGAGCATCTCATTCATAAATAGCTGGAACATGCGGTCAGACAATGTCTTGTTATTGTTGTGTTATTGTTTTAGGTTATAACGAGTGCGACACGAGCGATAGATAGGTTGTCTCTGTCGTAATGGTCGTTCCCTGACGACTCTGCCGAGAAACACAACACTGTCTTTTGTTTCTCAAGTACACCTGAACTCTCCGTATCATAGCCGGGTAATTTTTTTATTTTAATGAAGCTATAATTAAATTAAAAATATATTGTATTTAAACTTTTTTATATTTTATTAAGATTTAGGACAGGTTTTTTAAATAAAAGTTTAGAAAAAACGTCTTAGAGTCCAAAAAGGATAAAAATAATAAAATACACGTTATAGAAGAAATTTTATAATCGAAATTACGTAATTTTTGAAATTAATAATAAATTATTAATTTTAGTCAAACATTTACAACCTCTAATATTAATCAAAACAGGATCTATTCCACAGATATAATAGAATCGGCGACAGGGAGAGAGAAAAAAGAATATGATTGTTGTAATTTTTTTTCTGGTTAAGTGATGTCTTATTATGTAAATTAGAGAAAACATAAATTTGTTCCATTAAAGCAAGGAAGGTGATAGGAAGTGGATAAAATGAAAACTACATTTATTTAACTCGGTACTGTATTATACCGGGTGCGGTCCAAAAGTGGCTCATCCCCCATAATTTTTTTTTATATTTTCAAATAAAAAAAACAAGATTTAGTATGTTAGTATATGACATAAATTAGGATTGATTGACGCATTCAATTGTTTTTGGTCACTTCCTGTTTCACCGGAAATGACTATAACTTTTAATTTTTAAACGGCACCCTCGGTAAATTTCTACTTTATTCGATAGAAAATGACACTCTGACATATGTATGATTAAAAATACGATTGGTACATCTCTTAACCGGCCTAGACAAGACACGAAACCCATTAGACGATCAAAACTATTTTTCCAAGGCTCCTTGATTAAAACTTAGTGTTTTTAACAACACTATGGCACCCTGGATTGAAATTTAAAATACGATTTGTTTTTAAGCGACAATGTCAAAAGTTGACATATGATATGTCATTCTATTCAGAGTGTCATTTTTTTATCGAATAAAGTAGCAATATACCGAAGGTGCCTTTAAAAATCAAAAGATGTAATCATTTCCGTGAAACAGGAAGATACCAAAAACAATTGAATACGTCAATAAATCCTAATTTATGTCATATACCTACTAACATACAAATCTGTTTTTTTTATCTGAAAAAATAAAAAAGTTATAGGGGCGAGCCACTTTTGAGACGACCCGGTATATTAAAAAATATTGTTTCATAATGTAATATCATTTTAAAATTCTTGTATGTTATTTTAGATTCTGAAGATAATTTTAGAATAAACCGGAATATATTTTTAATAAAAACATTATTAATTATTAACAGGGTTATAATTATGATTTTGTTACAATGTAAGTAAGTAAATAATGTAATGTAAGAGAAAAAATTCAGATTTTACATTTTACTAAAATATTATCTAAATAAGCGCCTTTCTACAACAACGCCACTGACTCCCAATGGGTAAATTGAGAGTTGCCTACCGGTCAAAAGTCGTTTCAAGACTTAAATGGATTATTTAAGTCAAATTTCTTGCAAATTTGGCACTGGCGAACCATATTTTATAGTTCTTGAACAGAAAAAGTCAATAAAATAAACACTTAAGCACTACAAGCTAAGAAAATGCGTTAATACAGCCGGGGAGATAGCGGCAACAAAGCTTTACCGCACACGTGCGACACGTACTACAAGGTAATAAATGAATGAAAAGGCTCCCTCGCCTCTAATCGGTGTTGTCATATTGTAAAGAACTTATCCTTTTTAAACAGTATCCGACTTATAATTTAGTAGTATAAGGACTATTTAATACATCTATGGAATATTAAAACCTACTTTATTAAACTGTAGTAATAATATCTCAATATATGCGTATGACAAGAAAACAAATATTGATAATATTAAAGACGTGACAACATAGGCTGGATGAGGAAGGATCGGTCGACTGTACCCAGAAGTAAACATGTATACAAAAAAGATTGTTTGACCGCGTTATGATGTAAATAGTGTAGTCTATATTTTATTTTAAGTCTATGGTCTGAGCATATATTGATAAGATTTTCTGAGGAAGGTTTTCTATTACAGTACTTAATATTCTTTTTGTACTTAATTAAAAATTTGATGACGCCTAAAATATTATGTCTACTTTTTTAGTGTATCTAAAACTTTTTTATAATTATAATAATTCCTCTCGAAGTGGAGAATGTCAGCGAAAGTATATATATAACTTTAAGTTGTCTATAAATCCGTAATGAGTCTTTTTTATTACTGTATAGGCCCGGGATTTAGGGATAATTAAATATTTCCTTTTATATATTTTCGGTAAAGCACGTAAAACGCTACGGGCTTTAAACAATAAACTTTTTAGTATTTGAGGAGGTAAACAGTAAGAATTGAAATTTCGTAATGGCCGTTTTAAATTAATTTAGACTGATAATGTCTCATTAACGGATTTAATTAAAAGTTTTTATTTAATCTTTGTCGTAATATTACAGAATTTTTATGGATTTAGACTTTACTTCATAGCGTTGGATTAATGCAAAATTTTATGTTGGTTCGGTCTATTTTTTTATTTTTTTATTTAGTACCAATCAGAACAATTACAAAGAAATTCTACGGACTAGTTTCATGACTTGACGTTGTAACTTTTTTTCTATGGAAAATTTTGTATTTTTATGAAAACATGTCCAAAGCACCTTTTTACATAGAATTTAATGGTTTAAGTATAATTTTTTTAAAATTAATAATTTAAGAATTATCAACAGAAAGCTTTAATTTTTATATGGGACACCCTGTATATTTTTAATGTATTGAGAAGAATTTAAAATTACCTTTCCAAAAATATAGCATACCTGATATTTTGCTTGATTGCTCTTCGAGATATAGATTTTTTTAAAATTCGCCCATTTTAAATAAGTAGGCTTTGAATGGCGCCGGCTGTAATGCAAAAAAAATTAGCTGTGAGCAGCATTTAAAACGAAAATAATATTTGCAATAAGAGATGCAGAATTTTATAACAATTTAAACTATGTTTTTAAACATCAACACATTTAAATTATATCAATAACAATAAAAATTAATAGCAAACCAAGACATGAGATTTTGCTACAGATGTTCGACATGTCGACAGTCTTCTCTGTTATGGACAGACGGGACCGTTTTTGAACATTTCTCGAGGAATTCATTAACTCGGTGGAAGTGAAAGATAACCCCGCATAACCGCTAAGTCCTTCTAATTCGTGTCTAGATTATACGGTCAATTTAAAAATAAGAACCTATACCTATTCTTCCGCAAAGATAAAAATCCATAGGCACTAAGTCCTGCTGCCTCGGCGGCCTCGATGGCCAACGGCTGAGATCTTGGTTAGCTATTCCATTATTCTCTAAATTGGCTGCAAAAATTTGCTGATAACTTCAGCGATCTGAGGCGGTGTCTTGTCCTGCTGGAAAGATATGTTTTCGAGACTTTTTAGGGGTATTATCATCAATAAGGGGTCCAAAGCCCACCAGTTAAAAGTAGCGAACTTATAAAGATTCTGTATTTCGAAGGGGACTATAACAAAATATCAAGTGTGCTATATTTTTGGAAAGGTAATTTTAAGTTATTTTCACTTAATTAAAAATATACAGGGTGTCCCAAATAAAAAATAAATTTTTATGTTGATAACTCTTAAATTATTAATTTTAAAAAAATCATTTTTAAACCATTAAATTCTACGTAAAAAGTACTTTGGAAATGTTTTCAAAATACAAAATTTTCTATAACAAAAAAGTTGCAGCACT